TATCCTAAGTCTATCAGGTGAAGATCAAAATCTGGTGGTAAAAACTGTGAGACCCAGTGGTGGGTGGGGCCTCCTCCCCTATGCACACCATGGTGACTTCTTGTGAACACCTTCCTCAATGCCCGGGGCCAGGTGGGGGCTGCATTCATGTGAAAGCTGACATTAAAGTGAAACTCCTGCTTAGAGATGAGCTGTACAATTTATGAAGCAGTATAACCTACAGGGTATCTCTATGAACTGTGCTGTTCTGTGTCACTACACACCTTTACTCCATGATTGTTGGATTTAGGAGGGACATCGCTGAGCCTCTACCCTCACCAGTCCAGAGTAACTCTGCCTCCTCAATCTCAGTTACAGAGTTGTGTGCAGCTGTCCACTAGCGTCAACCTCATTTGTGCACTTCTTTAACTCCTTTTGGCTCCATGTGGCAAGGTATAAGGTATTCGTACAGTGTGTTGAGTCCCAGATAACTCTTGGGGGCACTGAACCCCTTGTTACCGGAGGACCCATCACTTACACCAGGTACCGCTGCTGCCTGGCTGCTTACCATCTTCCCACCAGTTCATGGTTTCCCGTGGCAACTACTCTCCTCCCACATTAACCCCTTGTAGTGGCCTTATTATTTCACCCTATGTGTGCTTCACTGGCTCTGTTCTCCTAGATACACCCTGTACAGTACCTTCATGCACACTTTTGAGTAACTTCAGACCAGGCTTAGAGTAGTTCAAGAACCTTTACCAAATGTTTTGCAGCATTACCGTATTTAGACCAGACACAACTTTCCTAGCTAACAAACTTTTGGCTGCCCAGGCATACCTGTCCAGGTGCTAGTCCACTACTGGTGGTTCCTCAGGCGGGTGTTTTTTGGTTGCTATAGGTTACATCCTTCTGGCATGGACCTTGTAACTTCTTCTCATGTGGTCCTCTTCAGAACTCCAAGGTCTCCTGGACCCAGCCTTCCCCCTATTTATTTGTAACATATGGAGGGGGACAGGCTCAGAAAAAGCCCAGGAAACCGCAGACTAACCCTTTCCCCACCTGGGCAGCTCAGTCAGATTAACTAGCATCAAACTTCCCTAGTAGGCACCTGCCTACACATGGGTCCCAAATGTCTTTAAACTTGTGCATCATGTCAGAAAGTTTTAAAATCAGTTTCTCATTAGAGAAAGTCTGATGGATCCTATTTTTCATTTCAGCCAATGAGGGTCAGTTTGATAACCAGACTCTTGCTGTCATCTTTCGGTAGCAGTTAAAACATGAGTTATTTATTTGAACTGATGGATCATTAGACGATCTGGTTTAGGATTAAGTAGTGTCTCTCCTAGCAGCATGGGGATAGCAATATTGAACAGCGTGGTTAGTATATTATATATTTGGGTACAAAGTGTATGGACAAGTAGGCAACAAAGCCATGTGTGTTCATAGGTTCTCAGAAAGCCACAACCAAGGAAGCAACATCCCGTTTATAATCAGTTTCTAATGCAAGGACATTCTGAGAGCTTGATCTGATAGTGTTCAAATTTGGGTCCACTGTTTAGGTTTTTTTTTTTTTCAAATTCTTTATTTAGATAAAGTATCTAACACAATAATGCAATATCAATCGGTGGTAACACTGTGTAGAGAACAAAAATGTTACACAATACAAATCAGGTAGAATAAGCACATAAAGTCTAAAGTGCAGAGTTACATAAAAAAAGGCATGTCAAATACCGGATCCTGGGAAGGACGTAGTATGGATTCATCCAATGAAAATACTGAGGTAACAAGCCATTACGATCCTGTTCTGCTACACTGCCGGATATTGGCCGTAGCATATGCCCACATTGTTCAGGTTCTATAGTAAACACTCTCTGGCCTTGATCCTCTTGTTGTACAACTGACTTCTGGCAGGCCCTACACTACATCAACATGACTATATGAACATGTGGGCAACTGCAGGCCATTGCCATAGTCATGTTGATGTAGTGTAGGGTCTGCCAGAAGTCAATAGTACAGCAAGAGGATCAAGCTTGGAGAGTGTGGGAGGTCATTTCGGCACCTTAGTTCAAAAGGAGTCAGGATGGTTTCATCAGTAGTGGGACAAGTCATTGAAGTAACAGAAAAAAAAGGTTGATGGAGGAGCCCCTGCTGCTGTCAGAATACACTGAACAGTGGCTGTGGCTAACCAGCTGCAACCACTGAATGAGAAAAATTTTCTGAATATGTCCCTTTGACAGAAGTTCATTAAACGAATACATTCTGTCAAGCGGTGACTACCACACACTGATCAAAATTTAGATGCATCAGCAGCTAAAATTTAAAAAAAAAAAAAAAAAAAAAAAGACTGAAAACAGAAAACGAAAGCAGCCCTCACACCTAGGGATTGGTAAACTACAATATATTACAATTTTAGTTTTGGATTTAGATAAACTCTAAGCCCTAAAAAGAATGGCAAACAATACAAAAACACATGTATCATGCAGTTTTGTGCCTTTTTAGCACATCTGCACTATGGAAGATCTCCATGTTTCTCCCGCACCTTGTATAATGAACAGGGGCGGACTGACCATTCGAGCACTTGGGCACTGCCCGAGGACCCGGGGTCAGCAGGGGGCCCAATGAAATGCCCCTGGTAACTTTTATAGTCTTTTTTGGGTGTGCTTTGAGTGTGGGCAAGGACACAGGGGCCCCATGATCCCCTATTGCCCGGGGGCCCCATGAGTTGTCAGTCCGCCCCTGATAATGAACGAACATTCAGTAGGTACACACATTACCCTAAATCCATAAATGTGAAAAGGACCCTCAGATCATTTTACCTCCTGGCTGCCATTCTTTTTCTATCTTTCTGTGACTAAAGTAGAGACTTTCTGCAGGCGGACAATCTGTAAAGCAAATAGAGTGTGTGAAAGAGATTTATGTAAAATGATACTTACGTATGTTTATCTATGTATTATTCTTTGCCATTTTCCCTGACCCCGGTTGCTTGTTAGCCGGACATGAGCTTCCTTGAGACAGCGTTTGACATGTAAATAATATCTTGTGGCCTGAACTGATGCTCTTACGCTAGCATTTCCTAATCCACTGAATGCAGCTAACACTATTTCTGTGCAGGGTCTGTGCCAAATACTTCCAGGCTGATAAGACATGTGGGACTGGGATGAATAGTAAATGGCAATTCACAGCTTATTGTCTCTTATGATTCCCATATAGATTTATTTATTGTATTTTAAGGTACTTATATAGCACCATCAATTTACACAGTGCTTTACATACATATATTGTACAGTCCCTAACCCTCAAGGGGCGTACAATCTAAGGTCCCTAACTTACATTCATACATACACATACTAGGGCCAATTTAGACAGGAGCCAATTAACTTACCAGCATCTCTTTGGAGTGTGGGAGGAAATTGGAGCACCCAGAGGAAACCTACGCAAGCACAGGAGAACATGCAAACTCCAGGCAGGTGGTGCGGATTTGAACCAGTGACCCTAGTACTGCCAGGCAGAAGTGCTAACCAGTAAGCCACTGTGCTGCCAAGATGGACTTCAGGATCATCTATCATCTCCTTCATACTCCCAGCATGAAGACCTGGAACTGTACACAGAAGTACAACAAAACATGGGGGTTCCAGTGATCAGTAATCATTAGTTTTCTGCAATCCAATCCTCTATCCTCCACTAAAAAAAAAAAAAAAAAAAAAAAATCTAAATTGTGTTTGCTTTTAACATTCATGTTTGGAATGGATGGACTTGTCTGAACAAAAACCACATCTACTCTTAGAAGTTTGTTGAAAAATTTTTCATCTTGCCCTTTTGAAGTTTCTCATCACTTCAGTCGAAAACAAACATCACCTTGGCCCCACTAACAATTAGAAAATCAATCAAACATTCTTAAAAACATTTTGAGAAAAATTCTATTAGTGTATGGAAATCTTTAATCCTAATACACACGATGAGAAAATCTAACGAAAAATACCGCTTTCTAAGTGATTGTCCGATAATATGATCATTAGTACACAGCTTTCAAGAATCACAACAATTCATACGAAATGATCCAAAGGGACAAGCACAAATTTCTCATACGATAGCAGAACGAACAATTTACGTTTAATCAGTACAGTATTCGTCCCAAAACAATGGAGCAACAAAGGCCACATTACAAAACAATACTTTCAAAGTTGTATTTTGTCTTAAGAGAATTTTCGGAACATTAGTAATCTCTTCATTTTCAATATGAGACTAGCATGTGGGGAAAAAAAAAAACGGCTGGCCATTCATCTGATATTCTTAACGCATGTACGAGGCTTAAAAAGTATAACTAAAGGCAGAACTTTTTTTTTTTAGTTTTGGATAGAGTGGGGAGGGATTAGAATCTCTGTCAGCTTTTATTGCTCTCTGTGCCCCCGTAAGGGAGATTCTCCCTCTCTGTTTGTTCTGTTTACCATTATCATTGAAAGTGAAAGTAAAAGAAAATCACACATTTTTGGATTGTCCCCAAAAAAAGTAATAAAGGGGAAATCTTCCAATGGGGACACTAGTTCTGGTGACCTGGGGGTCCCCAAGGAATTCCCCTAATTTTTAGGGATTTCCTCTCATCTCCTGTTTGGCTATAGGATAGAAAGGGAAGTGAAATCGCCACAAAGGGACACAGATGGGGAAAAAAATATCTGACAGGGCTTATAACCCTCCCTTGCCCTATCCAAAATGGGAAAGAAAGTTCTGCCTATAGTTCTACTTTAAGTCTGAATGCAGTCACATGGTCATCGTCAGTATATACTGTACTCTGGCAATCACACTCTTGTAGTTTCTCCCGTTCTCACTAGGTCAGTCAACAAAGTTCTATTCGGAATGGAAGAGTCATGGGCGTTTCCAAGCAACTAAAGCCACACACACTCAAATACATCAGCATATCTGCAATGTGTTTGGGTTGTTGTTGCCAAGTAAAAGGGCTTTTCTTTTCTCCTGTTTAGTACAGTCTGTCAGAGTCAGCTTCTACAGGACTGAACAGTTGGTGAGCTATGAGCAATCCAGACGTTGTAACCCTAAATGTTGGGGGTGTGAAGTTCACCACATTGGCTTCAACACTTCAGAGGTTCCCAGAATCCAGACTGGCACACATGCTGGATGGCAGCGATCGGGATTTCAGGCTTGTAAACGGTCAGTTCTTTGTAGACAGGGATGGCTCCTTGTTCAGCTACATACTGGACTATCTCAGAACTTCTCACTTGACTTTACCCTCTGACTTCTCGGAATATGAAAGACTTCAGAGGGAAGCAGAGTTCTACCAACTTCAGGCTCTGGCTGAACAGCTAGGCCAGGAGAACTTTTACCGGCCCAGACAGGAGATCTTGGAAGTAAGGTTCCTCCTGCAAGAGACACATGCTTTCTTCCGTGTCTTCTGCTCATGCAGCAGTACAGTTGAAGCTCTTGCTGACCGTATTGTAATGTATGTAGAACAGCCAATCGGAGGTCAAGGATGGAACTTCCCATTTTCCAACCAGAAACCTCTTGCTCCTGTGCCTCTACAAAGACCCTCACATCATGACCTTATCTTCCAGTGTGGAACAGACTTCGCAACAGGAGATCAATTTGGAGCCAGGTAAATTGCAGTTTATTTGTTAGTATCTCATAGTGGTTCTGAAGGCTCAAGGTTTATCATCATGCATTCTAAATCCTTCTGTGTGCAGCATCACTCCCAGCCACCCCCCCCCCCCCTTACTCACCTAAGTCCCCTCTCGATCCAGCGATATGCATAGGAGTCTCAGCTATCTCCCTTTTCTCATCAGCTGAGACAGAAGTGGGAGCCATTGTCCCACTGCTGTCAATCACAGCCAGTGAGCCAATGAGAAGAGAGAGGGGGCAGGGCCGTGCCTCCATGTGTGAATCGACACATGGAGCAGCATGTGCCACCATAGCAAGCTGCTTGCTGTGGGGGCACCCAACAGGAGGGAGGGGCCAGGAGAGCCTATGGGGGACCCGAGAAGAGGAAGATCCAGGCTGCTCTGTGCAAAACTACTACACACAGCAGGCAAGTATAGACATGTTTCTTATTTTTTTCTTAAAAAAAAAAATAAAAAATAAGCCTTTAGAATCACTTTAACAGCTTCTATAGCGGGCACTTTTACCCCCTTCCTGCCCAGGCCATTTTTCAGGTTTCAGCGCTCTCACACTTTGAATGACAATTGCGCGGTCATACAACACTGTCCCCAAACTAAAATTTTATCATTTTCTTCACACAACTAGAGCTTTCTTTTGATGGTATTTAATCACCACTGGGGTTTTAATTTTTTGCTAAATTAACAAAAAACAACCAAAAATTAAAAAAAAAACAAAACACGTTTTTCTTTGTTTCTGTTATAAAAGTTTGCAAATAAATAATTGTTCTTCATAAATTTAGGCCAAGATGTATTCTGCTACATGTCTTTGGTGAAAATAACCCAAACTAGGATGTATTATTTAGTTTGTAGGAAAGTTATAGAGTTCACAAACTATGGTATAGATCTGAATATTGATCAATCCTGAAGTACTGACAGCCAATCTAATTTCTTGAGGTCCAAGAATGTCAGAACAGTACAGATATCCCCCAAATGACCACTTTTTGCAAAGTAGACAGTCCGATGTATTTCATAACAGGCATGGCGAGTTTTTTTAAGTTGTAATTTTTTTGTCATAATTTTTCAGAAAATGAAAAAATTAAAAAAATTATTTTCACTATTTTTTTTTTTTTTTACATACTGTCACCAGTGCAGTACAGCGTCATCATATAACTGGCATGGTGGTGATCAGGGACACTGACTGGTGACAGTACGAAAAAAAAAATTGATAATTGTTTTACATTTTTTTATTAGTTTTAATTTATTAAAATTTTTCTCTTTTTTTAAGATTTTTTTTTTCATGTTTCACTATGACCAAAGTAGTATAATGCTACCATAGTAACATTGTACTACTTTGGGGGAAGTGATCAGGGGATTTTTTTTATTTACACAATTTGCTTATAGCAAAGAATTACTTTGCTATAAGCAAGCATTTTTTTTTTTTTTTTGTGCTTAGCTATGATTTGGCCATAGCTAATCACATGACACAGATGGGCTGTGATTGGCCCAGCTTGTGCATGTGAACGCTGTGACCATTCACAAATAGACAGACTTATATACAATGGATGGCATGAAAGGAAGCCATCCATTGTATACAACTGTCATGTGACCTGCTGTGATTAGTCACAAGAAAGTCACATTGTTACACAGATCGTCATTGGCCGGCCGGTGACAGATCGCGCCGCAGAGTGGCCCTGCGGGCAGGCACACTGCGCATGCCTGAAAGGACGCCATATGGCATCCACCCGGAGGCACCAGCTGTTCGCCCGGCCTCCATCTGGCTATAAGCCGGGCGGCAACTGGTTAATGAATTCAAAAGGTCTAGCAGAGCCATTCTGACCCTTTTCAGCATGGAGGACCCCTTAAAATAACTTTCCGGTCTCAGGGAACTCCTGTTAAAACTTACTATATCTACAACTCATGGTACATTAGTGAGATTGTCAGTGGGAAGAATGCTCCTTACACTTTTGGTCATTGAGAAGAATTACCCTCTTACAGATAGCTAAAAAGACCCATGTTGTCAGTGGAAAATTATCTGAGAGGTTGAAATTGCTCATTGCTCAAGGAACCCCTAGCAAGCTCTGGAGGAACACTAGGGCTTCAAGGAACCCAGGTTGAGAAACCCTGGTCTAGCGTATACAAGTATACAAAGGACTTCAGATTTTACAAGGTTATAATTTAGCATTATTTATTGTAAACATGTGACAACTATAATGTGTTCTCCAATGATTTAAAGCAGAACTCCAGGCAAACAGCTAAATACACAGATGAAATACATACTGTATATGGCGGCTGTTTTGTCTGCTAAAGGATTTGTATTTTTGTCCAAGTCCTGAGCTTTACGTAGCTATACTATACAGCACAGCTCTACCTGGCTGGGGAGTAGACCTGTTTTTTTTCCTGCTAAAACGTAGGCTCCATTCACATTAGGGCATTGCAAATCGCAGGCGGAATCGCCGCAACTCTGTTCGCAATTTGAAAAGAGACAATGTGAAAACGTACGATCGTGTTTGGCACTTGAAAATGCAGGATGTTTTTGCTGCAATCGCAGCACGTTTTCCCACCATTGAAATGAATGGCACCTCCAAACGCAATCACACGTTTCCACTTTGCCACATCACTAATGTGAATGGAGCCTTAGTGCTCCTTCAAACATGTGGCGGTAAAAAACAGGCAGCTGCCCAGTTGAACTGTCCCAATACAGCCAGACAAGGCTGTACAGATGCCACGGCTCTGGAATTTTTAACTCGGGGTGCAATTTGACAGGTTGTACTATCTGTAAAACTGGCCAAATGAGTTTAATAGGCCCCCTCAGCAATGGCTTGCAATGCACACAATTTTGATACGGTAGTATGGTATTATAGAACTAAACCATGTGGTGAGGTGAGGCCCTCTCACTGCCTGTCAAATGCCCTCTGAAAGGCAAGCCAAACACAGATCACTTCTCAGACGGCACTGCACTCCACTGCAAGTGTGAAAGAGTCCTTACAAGTCTGGACAGTGAAAGCAAAATCTGTAAAATGATGAACTCATCTTTCTTTCACTCTGCTCTCCTCTCTTGTCATCATGTCTCCTTGCCCTGCAGCACAATCTTCCATACCATTCTTACCAGAAGCGCATTTGTGAGTACAGGCACTGATATTGAATGAGAAGGCCTGGCTAGCAGTCTCCACGCTAATTCATCCCAAAGGTGTTTTATCAGGTTGAGGTCAGGACTCTGTGCAGGCCAGTCAAGTTCCTCCATCCCAAACTCACTCATCCATGTCTTTATGGACCTTGCTTTGTGCACTAGTGCAGTCATGTTGGAACAGGAAGGGGCCATCCCCAAACTGTTCCCACAAAGTTGAGAGCATGCAATTGTACAAAATGTCTTGGTATGCTGACACCTTAAGAGTTCCCTTTAAAGGGGCCAAGCTCAACCCCTGAAAAACAACCCCACACCATAATCCCCCTCCTCCACCAAACTTTACACTTGGCATAATGCAGTCAGGCAAAGTACCGTTCTCCTGGCAACACATCCCAGAACACGTCTTCACTGCTCTAGAGTCCAGTGGTTTACACCATTGCATCTGATGGTTTGCATTGCACTTGGAGATGTAAGGCTTGGATGTAGCTGCTTGGCCATCATGATACCATGCTTGAATTCACCGAGCTCCTGAGAGTGACCCATTATTTCACAAATGTTTATAGAAGCAGTCTGCAGCCTAGGTGCTTGATTTTATACACCTGTGGCCATGGAGGTGATTGGAGCACTTGAATCCAATGATTTGGAGGGGTGTCCCCATACTTTTGGCAATATAGTGTATATAGAACATGGATAGAACTCAAAAGATTTCCCCTTACGTTCTGGTCTTCTGACCTGGGTCCATAAGTGATGGGAAAACAGCAATGAGGAAAGTGATGTAATCAACATGAGGTATGTAGATACCTTCTCTTTTTAAGAAGGCTCTACTGTGTTTTGTAGTATAAGAAACCAACATCATTTGAAGTTGAATTGTTTCAGTCTGTTTAACTCATTGCTGCAGGTATGTGTCTATAAAGCCTGATCAGAGGAAACTACTGAATGGAACCAACGTTCTGGGACTTTTGCTGGACATCTTGCTGCGAGAGGGCTTTAGCTTGGTGAGCACAAGAGCTGTATCAGCGGAGGAGAAGGTAGAGTGTTATACATTCCAGAGGAAGAAAAGACCTGAAATCCTCACCATCGCTGAAGATTACAAACAGGAAAAGAACATCAATATTCAAGTGAAACCGAGCAAGTCAACTAAAAAGAAATGATGACCCTGTTTATCCCATTAGGAGAAACATCACTTGTACTGACCATTACATAACCACCAGTAAGAATACACTCGTTTTTCCAGTATGCGGCATTGTTTCCAAAACAGGTTGGGTTATCCATGTGTAACAATGAACGAGCATTACACACTGCGCTTTCAACCTTTACACTGGGATTAGTATTCATGGTAGTGGAATGGTTAGCATGATTACCTTGTAAGTCCTAGGTTCAATTTGTACCAGACATTATCCGAATATTTCTTACCATGCTTGTGTTGGCACCTCCATAATCTAAAAATCATAGGTTAGCTGGCTTCTGAGCAACCCTCCCCTTGAGTGTGTACCTGTTTGTAAGATTCATCATACAGTAAGTACTCATGCTAATGCATACTAATCACAATGCATGCCCACTCACCACTGGCCATCTCTAAAGCCATCCAAGTGACAGGCACTGGCAAAGGAAAAATATTTTGACATATCAAACACAAGCTTGAGAAATTACACATCAACCTGTCCCTAACATCTATCAAAGCTTATCTCTGGTCGAAATGTATATTATATATCCAGTTTCACATTGTATTTCATTTATTTCTATTAACAAATGATCTTGAAGTTTGTAAACATATTTATGAAGATCCCCACACATTTACTTCCTTGAATTCTGTGACATGTATTCACTATACCCTGTGAGTAGGCACGGCTGTGTCACACATTTCACAGAGCCTGCCTTGTGAACTACAGAGGAGCTGAGAGGGGGAGTCTCAGGAATCAATGCAGGAGTCACTTATTTTAGGCAGCAATGAACCATGGGATATGTAGTCCTTAGTAATGGAAAGCAAAACAGTAGAAAAGAAGCTGCAAAGCATGCAGGGAATCTAGGAAGTTGCAGAAAGAGATGGCCAGCAGACAGGCAGAACTCATAACATGAAAGGAGATTTTTTTCACGTAAGATTATATTGGATTGTCAAGAATAACTAGTTTGTGTTGTTACAATGCTGATGTTATAAAATAAAGAGTATAAATTTATGCCTTAACTTAACCTTATATTTTAATTCAGAAATAGGCAACCTTGCCACTCCAGTTGTGGAACTACAAGTCCCATGAAGCATTGCAGGACTTCAAGTCTGTTCCTCTGGGAGCTGTGCATGCATGGGATTTGTAGTTTCACCACAGCTGGAGTGCCAAGGTTTGCCTACCCCTGGTTTTATTGTGTTCAAAAAGCAGTGATAAGAAGCCACAAAGCAGATGTCAGTGGCAGGGCTTTAGAATAACAGACTACAGCATCTGAGGCATAACATGTTTTATTCTGTGTCACTGGAGGGTTTTGTTTTTTAATCTATTATGAGGAACAAGTCTGAACTGTGCTTGTGCAGGAATACCATGTAAATTTGCAAATATAACTTTTTCTCTTCCCAAGCTTAGATCAGACCCAAACCAGTGTAAATTTTGCCTTGTTTAATTTGAACCTGTCTGCATCTGTTCTGTAAGTATCCCTGGCCTGAGAATAAAGGCATCTGTTTGATTCAATGGCATTAGGGACACAAGAAATAACAATTCCTATGCTGCACTGCTCTCATGTAGTTGTAAAGGATCACCAAATCTGGCAGGTCGTGCATAGGTTTAGCCAAGTCCAACCTTTTATATCATGTGATTATAGAAAAACAAGTAACCTCCCTGGCTGTATTCCCGAGTGTAGCTCGGGGTAAAGTTTCAGCACCACAAGCGGCAACCCCGAGCTACACTCGGGAATACCCTGCAGCGTTGCTCAGGGATCTCTTCTGCACTTACCTTATCCTTCGCTCCCGCGATGTCCCTCCTGCAGTGTCCCCGGCCATGTCCTCCGGCCGATGCCGGCATCTGTCTTCCGGGTTCTGTTCCCTGCGACGTCAGGATGTACGGGGACGGAACTGGCGGGAAATTTAAAAATGTCAAAAAGTGACATTCACTAAATACACTAAAATCACATAGTAAAACATTACTGTATCAAACCATTTCACATACATTTTGTCCCGAGTGCTTTGTCCTGTGCCCTGCCTGCATTTTTACTGTTCTTTCTGCCTGGAAACTGAGAAACGTCCATGGCATCCAAAAAGTGTCCCTTTAGGTCAAAAGCGGTTTTAGATCAGCTAGAGAACAGCGATAGTAAATCAGAACTACTTGCAGAATTGAGTGATAATGATTCGTGGGGAAATTCGTCATCAGACACTGAAAACGATTTTGCGACTTTGCTCAGTGATGTGCGAACTTGGGGCTATATTTCAAATTTCAGTGTTTTTGGTTTGATTATATTATTGAATTAAATATATTATATTATTTTTTATTATTATTTATTAAATTATAATTTATGATTTTATGTTTCGTGTTTCAAATTTTATCATACCCGGGATGTTTACTAGACTCTTGTTCGGACAGATTTCAGCGAATTATTCCTAAAAATTATAGGCCTACAATAAAAAAAAAGTACATATTTCCATGCAAAAAAATGTACCGCTTTGAGCACAGAAATAGTGACATAATCAGACCGCTAGGGAGGCTACAGAAAGCAGAATGCACATCTAGCAGGATTCCTGATGCATTCTGATCTAAAGACATACAGTGCTTTGAAAAAGTATTCATACCCCTTTAAATGTTCCACATTTTGTCATGTTCTATCATATAAAATACATTTATGTTTATTGTTATTGGCACATTTTATTTATTTCAGGTACTTATATAGCGCTGTCAATTTATGCAGCACTTTACATATATATATTGTACATTCACATCAGTCCCTAACCCTCAAGGAGTGTACAGTCTAAGGTCCCTAACTCACATTCATACAAACACATATTAGGGACAATTTAGACAGGAGCCAATTAACTTACCAGCATGTCTTTTGGAGTGTGGGAGGAAACTGGAGTACCCAGAGGAAACCCATGCAAGCACAGGGAGAACATGCAAACTCCAGGCAGGTGGTGGTGTGGTTGGGATTTGAACCAGTGACCCTAGTACTGCCAGGTGGAAGAAATAACCATTAAGCCACTGTGCTGCCCAAATTTGTGAAGTAGAAGGAAAATGATAACTGGTTTTCAAAATTTCTTACAAATAAATATCTGAAAAGTGTGGTGTGCATTTGTATTCAGCCCCCTTTAGGCTAGGTTCATGCCTACACAGTTTGATCCGTTCCTGCAGTGCGTTGTTTTTTTTTTTTTTTTTTTAAATACAAAATATATCAAAAAACGCATTACATGCTTTTCTGCAGCATTTCCATTGAAGTCTAAAGAAAGAACCAAAAATGCAACTTTTTGAGTTGAAAAGTCCCTGACCCTTTCCAAAAAATGTACCGGGCGAAAACGCAGAGATGTGAACATGTCCCATAGGAAATCATGTTAAATGGACTAAAAAAATATAAATATTATAGTGTCGCGCTCCACTGACAAGTAATTAAGTGCATAATATATAATTACAAAAGAAATTTGTCAAAAACAATATCAGTATTCCAAAATGAAGTGTCCAAAACCAATATTCCAAGATTAAGTGTCCATATATGATCCGTGATTTCACACTCTTTCCAGTGATGTGGACAAAAATGACTTGTGCTCAATTCACTGCTATTCATTTTTGTCCACATCACTGGAAAGAGTGTGAGATCACAGATCATATATGGACACTTAATCTTGGAATATTGGTTTTGGACACTTCATTTTGGAATACTGATATTGTTTTTGACAAATTTCTTTTGTAATTATATATTATACACTTAATTACTTGTTAGTGGAGCGCGACACTATTATATATTTTTTTGGCTTAGTATGACACATTCGTTTGGGTATGTGTGATGTGTAGGTGATCTGCTGTTGTAATTTAATCAATATTATTTCACAGCACCCTTTATATTTGTCAAAACACCACCATTTCTGACACCATAGTAGCTCGCAAGATCTCACATATTATGTTAAATGGACTGTAGTACGTTTTTGCAAAACACTGTAGAAACCGCTTAGGTGTGAACCTAGGGTAACCCTGATACCTCTAATTAAAATCAAGTGGAACAATTGCCTTCAGAAGTCACCTAATTAGTAAATAAATTCCACCTGTGTGTAATTTAATCTCAGTATAAATGTGGCTGTTCTGTGAAGCTCTCAGACGATTGTTAGAGAACACTAGTGAACAAACAGCATCATGAAGGCCAAGGAACACACCAGACAGGTCAGGGATAAAGTTGTAGAGACGTTTAACCACTTGGCCTCCAGAGGATTTACCCCCCTTCCTGACAGGCCGATTTTTTGCGATATGGCACTGTGTTACTTTAACTGACACTTGCGCGGTCATGCAACACTGCACCCAAATGCAATTTATGTCCTTTTTTCCCCACAAATTGAGCTTTCTTTCTGTGGTATTTGATCACCTATGCATTTTTTTACTTTTGCGCTATAAAAAAAAGACCGCCAAGTTTGAGAAAAAAAAAAACTATATTTTTTACTTTTTGCTATTAAACATGTCCAGTAAATAAAATTTTAAAAAAATCAAATTTCGTCATAAATCTAGCCCAAAATGTATTCTGCTACGTCTTTTCTAAAAATAAAAATCCCAATACGTGCAAATTAATTGGTTTACGTGAAAGTTATGTCTACAAATGACGGTACATATACTGGAATTTTTTTTTTTTTGTTATACCAGTAATGGCGGCGATCAGTGACTTATAGCAGGACTGCGGCGGGCATTCTTGACACTGGGGGGGAAACTGTCACTGACATCCCCAGTGACACTAATACAGTGATCAGTGCTAATAAAAAGCACTGACACTGTACTAATGACACTGGGCAGGAAGGGGTTAACATGTGGGGCAATCAAAGGGTTAACTGTGTGCTGTGTGTCTCTTTCACTGTATAAGCACAGTATGCAGAGCCATACAAAGCAATGTGCAGGAGCTGACAGGGGAGGTATCTATATTGTTTACATATAGCTCTCTCCCCTGTCAGTGATACCCAGCGATCGCCGGTGGGGAATCACCGGCCGGGACC